CATTCAGCCAGGAGGAGGCAGGAGAAGAGGGAGGGTAAGTTGCTTCCTCCCTGCCTCTCCCCACCCCTGCCTGCCTGGGGCCAGGGAGGGCCGTCGCGGGGCTTCCTTGCACTCCTGTCGGCCTTGCAGGTCCACCGCTGGGCCCCTCATGGGGCACGGCAGTGGAGCTGCAAGGCCGCCGCCGGCGGGGTGTGTGGCCTTATAACACACTTCGGGTGATGTCAGGGGGTGTGGCATATGCTAATGAGTTATGCTAATGAGTTCCCCTAGCTCTTTTTCTACGAAACGACCCCTGGTAGTGGTTAAGTGCGCGGACTCTAATCTGGGAGAGCCGGGTTTGATTCCCCACTCCTCCACTTGCACCTGGCTGGATGGCCTTGGGCAAGCCGTAGTTCTGATAAGAGCTGTTCTCGAAACACAGCAGTTTCTGCGAAGAGCTCTCTCAGCCCCACCTACCTCACAAGGTGCCTGTTGTGGGGAGGGGAAGGGAGTTTGTAAGCCGCTCTGAGACACCTTTGGGTAGTGAAGGGCGGGGTATAAATCCAATCTCTTCTCTTTTTCTTCTACTCCTGCATGCATTTGCCAGATTGATATGATGCCTATTGCATTCAGTAATTTGACCTGACTAATGGAATATTCCAACTTTATCTGTGACATTTTGGACAAACCGAACTCTGTCATTTGCATGGAGACTTGGTGCCTATGTTGCTGCTCCTGTTGTATTGTATTTTACTGTACTGTTTTCATTGGCTATCGGAATAATGCTTCAAATGCAAGAGGGAAGCCGGGTGCAGATTTCCAAAACGAGTAAATCCATATTCTTCGGAACGTACGTGACAGGGCTGCCATTCCCAGGGTCCAGGTGGGGGAACCCCCAGTTTTGGGGGCTTCTATCCACTGCCGTCCAGCTGGCCCTTGGGGGAACCCTGCCCCCGTTCTGGCATCCCATGGAAGTGACGTCATCACATCTGCCAGGGCTGCTCCAGTTCTTCTGATCCTCTTCCCCAGCCTACACTCTCTTCTACAGCAAGAGAAGTAAAGGGGCGGGCCTGTTGGTCGCTCTCCTCCCCAGCTGTCCTTTGAGGCTCCTCCTTTATTCCCCCCCATTCCACTCCTCATTCAGTCCTCCTCCTGTCCATCACCCGAGTCCTCCTTCCATTGGCAGATCCCTGCCAAGTTCCAACACCAGCCTCCCTCCCAACCTGTCCTTGCTCTCCCTCGCTGATGGGTCCCATGCCTCCGCGTTTGCTTCCTGCCGGCCTCCTGGTGTGCCGCTCCTGCTTTGCTGCCGCCCGCCAAGCTCCCAGCCTTGCCCGGACTCTCCTCTCTGCTGCCGTCTTTCTCGTTCCGGGGATGCCTTCCACGTTCCCAGCCTCCTGCCTTGCTCCTGGGACCGAGGCTTGGACCTCGGCATCTTGGCTGGTTGCGCTGCAGGGGGGGCTGGAGGACAATGGGCCCCCACCGCCCCCCGACGCGATGATGTAACTACTGGTTGATGTCAGCGCGTCGAGGACGTCCCCACCTACCCCCAGAACACCCCCAAATCCCCCCGCCAGCAAGACAAAGGGACCTGGCAACTCTAGTAACTGAACAAGTCAGTCCTAAGTACATCAATTCACAAATAAATTCAACCAAGTTCAATGGTGTTTACCGCCAAGCATGGCTTGAGTGCTTTGGATGCATCTAACGAAAGTGTTATGAAGAAACTGGGTTCACTGGAGCCAGTTCTACAATGATGCATAGATAAACTTGGCATTTATACAGCGCTTTAGAATGCCCAAAGAACTTTGTATACATTACTGTAGTAGTTCTAACTGCAGAATTAAATCCCTGTATTACAGCTGCGGTGGCTCAGGTGGTTAAGACGCTGAACTGCAGGCTGTGGAAGGTCAGCAGTGCAGCAGTTCGAGATCCAGGGTGCTGCATGACAGAGTGAGCTCCGGTCTCTAGCTCCAGCTCCTGCCAAGCTAGCAGTTTGAAAGCAAGAAATTGCAAGTAGATAAATAGGTACCACTTCGGTGGGAAGGTAACAGCGTTCCGTGCGTCTCGGTGTTTAGTCATGCCGGCCACATGACCACGGAAACGTCTTCGGACAGCGCTGGCTCTTCGGCTTTGAAATGGAGATGAGCACCGCAACCCTAGAGTCGGACTTGACTGGCTTTCGAGCAAGGGGAACCTTTACCTTTATTACAGATGAGGGGTATAACCTGGCCCAAGCTAGCCCAATCTCATTGGCTCTTGGAAGCTAAGCAGGGTCAGCCGTGTTTAGTACTTGGATGGGAGATTACCAAGGAGGTCCAGGGCCACTACACAAGACACAGGCAATGGCAAACCACCCGTGAAGTCTCTTGCCTTGAAAGCCCCACCAGGGTTTGCCATAAATTGCCCAAAACGTGACGTCACATTCCACCACCACATGACAGATGGAGAGGGGGCTGAGAGTGAGAGGCAAGTAGCTTGTCTATGATAACCTAATGTATTCACTTCCCAAATCCACGGCCTGATGCAAACTGTTGGAACTTTTCATACCTAGCCAGCTACTCCATTCTGTCTCAGGCTTACCGTTTTCTTCGTGTCCGTATTCCTGCCCTGCTATGGTGCATCTCCGGAAAACCATTTTGTTCTCCGTGAGCGTCCCGGTCTTATCTGAGAAAAGATACTTGATCTGCCCAAGGTCTTCAGCAATATCCAGCGCTCTGCACTTGATCATAGTGTCTGTCTTTTCGTGGTAAAAATCTAGGTCGTTCTGGATTAAATAGATTTGCCCCAATTTCACAAATTCAATGGAGACATAAAGAGAAACTGGAATCAAGACCTGTCAAAGCAAAAAGGAAAGAAGAAAAGGGGAAAAAAAGGATAATTTAGTACAGCTTTCTTCACAAAGCCAGATCCTGTTCTAATTTGCATTGGGAGAGCATCGGGATCAGCTCTATCATATTCAGATAGCTCCAGTTTCCCAATGATATACCAGAAATAGCAGAGACGTGAAATTACCTGTAATAAAATGATCATCCTCCAAAACAAATAGAATGCTCCCAATAACGGAGTGACGACCGGTTTTCCATCAGAATCTGTGATACTAAACAGAGCGGGCTGTGAATAGTACCTATTCAGCCAAATCCCATAACCTTTAAAAAGGAAACAAGGGGGAAAATATCAGCAACATCAAACTACGAATGATATTGCACTTCTAGGCCCTGGTATTAGCCTAGTGCAGAATGCAAAAAATGCCAACCTCTAGTTAAGATCTTGCATTTTAGTATCATCTAGAACCTTCCCAAACTACAACCCTATGAACATTTAGAGGAAAACTAATCCCACTGATGTATTTTTCAGTAATTACACCTCCTTATAAATTTTCCAAAACACAACCTTTTCCAATCACTTTTATTCCGATGGCTTTAGTGTCCCCAGAAATTCTACCACCCTAGTTACTGGTATGAACATGTTGAACATGTTGAAAGTTTCTCATCTCTGACGATCAGTGATGAGCAGCAGAATTCCGACAGTGACTCAGGGTCCGGGGGGGGGGGGGGGGGGGGGAGCTGCATGTGGCTCCGCCATGAAATCTTTGACACAGAAGAGGGAGGGGCTGCGGCTCAGCGGAAGAGCCTCTACTTTGCATGGAGTAGGTTGGCCAAAGTTCAATCCCCCAGCCTCTCCAATTAAAAAAAAAAGAAAAAGAAAAATCCTAATACATTCTAGAACGAAAGAACGTGCAGCCTGTTATCTGACACACACAACTTACCCACAGACCCTACAGAACACATCACTATCAGAAGCAGGACACACCACAAGATATGGTCGTTCACCCTCTTCTCAAGTTTGCTCCGCTTGTGACGAGGCCCCACGTTGTTCAGCATCGATTTGGTTTCGTGGCCTTTGGAGACACAAAACACGCGTGATTAACGCTGCCATTGTCCAGGGGGTGGGGTCCACCTGGAGAAAACAGCCACTTGGGAAGAGGGACTCTACAGCATTATACCCTATTGAAGCCCCTCCCCTCCCCAAAGCCCACCCTCCTCATGTTCCACCCCCCCCAAATCTCCAGGTATTTCACAGCCTGTAGCTGGCACCCGTACACTGATCCCCCACCGCCGGCAGGGCTCTTTTTGTAGCAGGAACTCCTTTGCATATTAGGCCACACCCCCCTAATGTAGCCAATCCTCCAAGAGCTTACAGAGCTCTTCTTACAGGAGCTACTGTAAGCTCTTGGAGGACTGGCTACCTTAGGGGTGTATCGCTTAATATGCAAATGAGTACCTGCTACAAAAAGAGCCCTGTTAAAACAGGCATCAAAAATACCGGCGTGAAAGCCAAGGAAAGTCAAGACGATTCTACAGCGTCTATACGAAACATTCTTATTTTGTGATACTCATCTCTGGGACTCTAAAGAGGCTTACTAATTTTAAAAAAATGGCGACCTGAATTAGGAAGGGATAGGAGCAAAAGGAGAATGTCCTAATGATGAAAATCCAGTCCAGAGGATTTCTGATAGCTACGGTACGCAATGAGACTGGGAGGGAAAAAGCACAGCATATCTGGAAAAGTGCAGAAACTCCAATACGACAAGGCTGCTTGGAGAATGTAAGTGATGCACGTAACGGTGTGTGTGTGTGTGTGTGTGTCCTTGCACAACTATGCTGGAAAGGCCCTATGGGAAGAGTCTGGAGAACCCCACTAAGCTTATAGCTCACGCGTCTCTACTTCCAGCATGATCAAGTCATATAACCTAGGGCAGAGAGCTATAGAGGCTGGGGAGCATTTAGGTTGCTAATAGTGCTTTCAGGACTCCATGAAACACAAACGGACCACAACCTTGAGGTTTTATAAGATTATGCATGGGAAAGAGCAGGTTGAGAAAGAGGTACTTTTCTCCCTTTCTCACAATACAAGAACTCGTGGGCACTCCATGAAATTGCTGAGCGGTCGGGTTAGAACGGATAAAAGGGAGTCCTTCTTCACCCAAAGAGTGATTAACACATGGAATTCACTGCCACAGGAGGTGGTGGTGGCTACAAGCATGGACGGCTTCAAGAGGGAATTAGATAAATATATGGAGCAGAGGTCCATCAGTGGCTATTAGCCACAAGGTATAGATAGGGGCTCTGGGGCAAGTGATGCTCTGTCATCTTGGTGCTTGGGGGGGGGGGTCAACAGTGGGAGGGCTTCTAATGTCCTGGCCCCACTGCCGGACCTCCTGATGGCACCTGGTATTTCTGGCCACTGTGTGACACAGAGTGTTGGACTAGATGGGCCTTTGGCCTGATCCAACATTGGCGTCTCCTATGTTCTTATGTTAACCTTGGACACAGACGGCTGAAACAGGGAGGGATCGAAACCTGCTTCAGACACTGAAGCCAGGGACCCCTGCAGACTGCAGGTCCTCCCCTCTAGAAGAAGAAGAGACTGGATTAATACCTCACCCTTCATTATTCAAAGGAGTCTCAGAGTGGCTTACAATCTCTTTTCCCCTCCCCTCCCCACAACAGACACCCTGTGAGGTAGGTGGGGCTGAGAGAGCTCTTTCAAGGACTGCTCTTGACAGAACAGCTCAGACGGAACTTGTGACTGACCCAAGGTCACACCAGCAGCTGCATGTGGAGGAGTGGGGAAACGAACTTGGTTCTCCCAGATTAGAGTCCGCGCTCCTAACCACGACACCAAAATGACTCTAAGCCTTGCCCAGCATTGTAATGGACATTTTACTAGTGCTCTGCATTCGACTGTAGCTCTCCAGGGGTCTTTGTGTTTGTAGGCTCGATAGCAAGGTAGGCTTCCTTCTGTCTGCAATCCAGAATTGGTACCATTCATATGGGCAGGAACTCTGTTCTTTAGGGTCTGCAGCTCAGCGACATCTACCCTGCAGTACTGACCTGCATATACCACGATGCCAACAACAGCTTCTGTGTTTCTGATTGTGCATCCTCGTAGGAGTAAGTTATCCTTACTCAGGCCCACGCGCTCCTGATTCAAATGCTCACTGGAACGACATAATACACAAGCCAGCTGTGATTTTTATCTGCCTGGGAAAGTCGTAAAGGCTTGATGCAGTCTGCCAGCCAGTACCACTCCCTAGTAGAGATGTGAAGGCCCGGAAAAAAAACGGAAAAATTTGGAAAAAAACCATTTTTTTTCCTGAAGATTTTTTGTTTTTTTCCGAAAAATTGGAAAAATTGAAAAAAGAAAAGAAAAGAAAAAATGATTATGGAACGTTTTATTTTAACATGATGAATAAAATATTTTAAGACAAGGTGTTCAAATATTTTCCAAATCATTTCTAAAATATATATATATGGTATCAGATTGATCTAATTTCTGTGCACGGAGGAAAAGCCAGTCCTAGGTTACAAACTGAACTCTCCAATGCAAGATGCATTTCTTCCTTTAGGAGGTGCTATTGCCAGAAGAAAATTAAAAGGTTTCAGTTTTGTTTTTGCATGTGGGTGGGTATTCTGTTTCTAATAATTGTTTGGATACACTATATTTTTAATATGCTAGTTGTGATAATTTCATGCCAAATAAAAATGTCCATAGTCATATTTTATGTTCCTAAAGTAACAGAATGACTTTCAATCTAGAAAAGACAAAAGAAATGCTAACGTAGCATTTTTTTCAATTTTTCCGAAAATTTCCGTTTTTTCCAGAAAAAAAACGGAAAAAAAACGGTTTTTTTTCCGAGCTTCAAAATTTCCGGAAATTTTACATCTCTACTCCCTAGCCCAGTGGTGGCGAACCTACGGTGGCACTCAGAGCCCTCTCTGTGGGCACGCGTGCCATCGCCCCAGCCAGGCCCAGACCGTCATTAAAGTGTCGAATTCTCTGCCAAATAATTTTCAGTCAATGAAAGCATTTGGGATTGCTTTCCTTCCTTTGTTTGGACCATCTTAAGTTAATGCGTGAGTTGTTTTTCCTAAAGTAAAACCTCATATTCAGGTTAGATTGCCGTGTTGGCAAGTTGCGATAAATAAGTGGGGTTTGGGTCGCGGTTTGGGCACTCGGTCTCTAAAAGGTTCGCCATCACTGCCCTAGCCTCTTCCCCCCATACCCGGATTTGCCCCAGGTGGCAGCTGGCACTCCCAGGTCTCCCAGTACAGCTAGAGCGGGAGACCTCCCCCTGGCAGCCCAGGACCCCCTGCTGCCATTCAGTAGGACAGGAGAGAAAAATAACAGAAAATAAAGGAAAAATTGGAATTGTGCTGACAGCATTATGTCAAATCCAGCACGATCCTGGAAATGATGTCATCATGTTTGGGTGTCACTCTAGGATTCTTAGTGTGTCACCCTGACATGATGACGTCACTTCTGGGGTTACATAGGAAATGATGTAACAACACTGGTGTGACACATATTAAGAAGAAGAAGAGAAGAAGAAGAGATTGCACTACCTGAAGGAGTCTCAGAGCGGCTTACAATCTCCTTTCCCCTCCCCTCCCCACAACAGACACCCTGTGAGGTAGGTGGGGCTGAGAGAGCTCTCTGGAGAACTGCCCTTGAGAGAACAGCTCTGAACAACTTGTGACTGACCTAAGGTCACACTAGCAGCTGCATGTGGAGGAGCAGGGAATCAAACCCGGTTCTCCCAGATTACAGTCTGTGCTCCTAACCACTGCACCATACATGCCCCCAAACCTGTTCAGCTCCTGCCCCTTACCAGAACTTGGCTGTATGGCAGCCCTCCTGGCCCCTGGAGGCCTCAGCCACAGCCCTCAGGAGGTTCGGGTCAGCCTCGGGACTGCTGGTTGCCTGCTGGGCCCTGCTTCGAGACGAACGCTACAAGAGTTCTTCAAAGGGATACAATGAACAACACGCAGCTTACCCCAGATTACTTACACAAAGCCCCGGAAGCTGTTGAGATCATTGTTGGGGCTCTCGCATTCTATTTTACTTGTGAATTGCTCTGGATCAATTTCGGACTCCTGTACGTGCACAGGGAAGGAAGGGAGGCAGCTCAGACATGGACGGCAGCAACGGATAGGAAGAACGAATTCTCTTTCCAGTAAAGGCTGCTCTTGGCAAACTGTCTTTTACATCTCTCAAACTCGTCAGCACGACAACCTGATGGAAAAGCGCGCGTGCTTTTCAATCCAGGTCTGAGAGGCTAACGAAGGTTCGTACCCTACACATCGGGACCCCTTTGAATATAGTACGGGACGTTTCTAGGAGAGAAAAACATTCTGACCGAAACAACAACAAAATAATGAGTAGCATAAGTGAATTTGTACGCAGGACAGCAAGCTGAGCCGGTTGAACGAATGAAGCTGCCTTCTCCTGGATCAGGCTGAGGGTCGCCAACAGGCCTAGAGAAAAATATCCTGTCTCTTTCATCCAGGGCAGGCAGAAACGGGCAGGTGAAGCTTTTCATGGCGTGGAGGTCAACAGTAAGTAAAGGTAAAGGTTCCCTTGCTTGAAAGCCAGTCGAATCCGACTCTAGGGTTGCGGTGCTCATCTCCGTTTCAAAGCCGAAGAGCCAGCGCTGTCCGAAGACGTTTCCGTGGTCATGTGGCCGGCATGACTAAACACCAGTGCGCACGGAACGCTGTTACCTTCCCACCGAAGTGGTACCTATTTATCTACATGCAATTTCTTGCTTTCGAACTGCTAGGTTGGCAGGAGCTGGAACTAGAGACGGGAGCCCACTCCGTCATGCGGCAACTCAGGTCTCGAACTTCTGAACTACTGACCTTCCACAGCCTGCAGTTCAGCGTCTTAACCACTTGAGCCACCGCAGCTCCTTAGGTCAACAGTATCATCACCATTAAACCTCTGTTAAAGGGACAGGACACTTTCCCCCAAGGCTGTTGGCAACGTTCGTCGGACGGCTGTTCCATCATAGTTGGCGCTGTCTACCGTGACTGGCAGCAGCTCTCCAGTGCCCCAGGGCAGAGGTCTTTCACATCACCTATTCCCAATTCCCCCTTTTAAACCTGGAGATGCCAGGACTGAACCTGGGTCTTTCGCATGCTAATTAGATGCTCTCCCACGGAGCTGTGGCCCCTCCCCGTTTATTGTTACGCACTCAAATTTATTTATTTAGAACGCGTTTATCTTAAAATGTTATATCCCACCTCTCGTCATTAAACCCCATAAAATACAATCTTAAAAAAAATACAGCTATGTTAACTAGAATCGATCCAGCAGCCCGTACAGCTACAGCCCCTACCCATAATCCAAACACCCAGAACCCACAGAAATCTGATTGGACCAGAGAAGAGGAAGAAGAAGAAGAACCATAGAAGAAGAGGAGATTGGATTTATACCCCGCCTTCACTACCCTAATAAGTCTCAGAGTGGCTTACAGTCTTCCCATAACAGACACCCTGTGAGGTAGGTGGGGCTGAGAGAGCTCTTTCGAGTACTGCTCTTTCCAGAACAGCTCTGAGAGAACTATGACTGACCCAAGGTCGCACCAGCAGCTGCATGTGGAGGAGTGGAGAATCAAACTCGGTTCTCCCAGAGTAGAGTCTGCGCTCCTAACCACTACACCACACTGGCTCTCACGACACCAAACGGGGGGGGGAATCCGTTTTCACTAGCGAAGCCAGAACACAGGCCAGCCTTAAAAAGTCATCCGCAGGCCTGCTGCCTAGCAAAACATCCAACATCTTACCGGAAAAGTTGCCCTTTGCACTTGCTCTAGAAGAAGACTATTCCACTGGGTGGGCTCCACCACAGAAAAGACTGGTGGCAGAGCCGTGGCCATGAGCACCGTTAGTAGACTGTGAACGGACAACCCTAAGGTGTTAAGCAGAACTATACAAAGACAGGTGGTCCTTTGGGGTATACCTGATCTTCAAATCCTCTCACCACCTGCCTCTGTTTCAAATTGGTCTCTCCATCAAGGCTGGAAGTTTCAATGTAGCAGATCCCGTCCGCATCCGTGGAATATATCAACACCATGTCAGCAGGGATTTCCTCGTTACACGACAATCGGATAAAATCTCCAACAGTAATGTTTTTCCAGAATTTGTCTACGTATGCTTTTTCACTTCTGAAAAATGAGGGGGGGGGGAGAAATGCCCTGCTTTTCAAAAACAATATGTAAAAAGGAAAACAATGCGATTATAAATAATTAACTACAACATACAATAAAATCTACTAAACTCTCTGCAGCTGGGGGCTTGGGATGCATTTGTAACTGGATTGCTCAATTAGTCATTACATGGAGAGGGAAAAATGCTGACTAAGAATATGTTAATAATCAATGTTTGCATTGCATGTTTTACTTTCAGAAAGTCTTGAAAATGTTCCTTGCTAAGGAAAAAGCAAAACTCTGAAAGCTAGGGATGTGCATTTGGCTATCCCAAACCGAAAAAATGCCAAATAAATACCTTATTCTGAAAAAATACCGAATAAATACCAAAAAAACCCCAACCCCCAAATAAATACCTTATTGCTGTTACCCTTGAAAGAGTTTGTTTCCAATGCTGGAGCACAGCTGCTTCCCCTCAGGTGGCCAGACTGGGTCAGCCCTGCTGTATACGTGGTGAGAACCACAACCAGCACACCTATAAGCAGTGGCTTTGTTTACGCCTGCTCAAAATGACAACAGGCTACCAAAAAGAGAAACAACTAAATGAAGGTATTCTTTTTCCATATGGCGATACATGTTCTTGCTCCCCCCCCCAACAGAAATGCAAGGGGACCAAAGCAGAGGACAAGAGAAAGGTACTATACAGGTCTAGAAACGTTTAAGTACAAGTCAGTCGCCAGGTTCCTTTTCTAGATGGCTATCACTGGGTTTCTAAAAGGACACAAAATCAATGTGCAAAATCAATACGGCAGTATAGGCACAAAATGTAGCCAGAGCTACCCTAGCGTCTGCCAGACACCCACTGCATCCCCAAACAATGCCAAGCTTGAATGTAATTAACACTTTTAAGCCTTGTGTAGCCTTGCGCATTTCCTAAACTGTGTAACGAGTTCACTGCTCCATGAAGAGCTCAGTCTGAAAGCATTTAAATCCAGTTGATGTTGTGCATATTAACAGAATGCCAAAGACCTCATATTTACTTGGAATGTGCATATTCAGCATGGGTGGGGGGAATTCAGTGCTGAGTTAAAAAGCTCCTTCTTGAGGTGCTGACCTTTACAACCCAGGCTATGAGGTGGGGGTGGGGGGTCTTGATGTGCTACAAAGCATTCCCCCACCCCCACTGCTCTCAGGATCGTTCTCGTCAGCAAAGGTGCAGTAGGGCAGAGGATAAAGAGAAAAACCCTAATAGAGCTCATTCAACTTATGTTTCTATGAAAGCAGTCGCTTAATCACAAGGGACTATTAGGTCTCTTGGTTCTTTTGCTCACCAGCCTTCTTCCATTTTTTTCAGGAATAATAATTATTGAATGGCGGTGTGTGTAGTACAGCCAGGAGATCCTAAGGTTGTCTGGCAGCCAAAAGTGCTAGCTCTTTTAGCATTAAGCACCTCTGGGGGCGAGCTAGACTTGTTTTTAAAGCAAAAAATGTTTCAGAGCTGGTTTGCCATTGCCTGCCTCTTCATAACCACCCTGGTATTCCTTGGAGGTCACCCAACCAAATATTAGCCAAGGCTGACCCTGCTTAGCTTCCAAGACTGGACAAGATTGTGCTAACCTGGGCTATCTAGGTCAGGGCTATTCAGGTTAGGGCTATTTTTCAAGAAACAAGAAGAGATAAAACAACGAAGAAGAGTGCATGCACACGAAAGCTTATACCTTGAATAAAACTTTTCGTCTTAAAGGTGCCCCACTGGACTCAAACTTTGTTCAACTGGTTTTTTTTGGTTACATTTCTGTTAAATTCTTGTTTCAAGCTTGCACAATTGTTATTTTACATAATCATGAAACACTCAAGCCTACAGAAATATGACAATGCATATTCCAGGTTAATCGCACTGTTCATAGACACTGCTTCTTGAAAGCCAATGGGGCAAGCCAAATATTTTAAAAAGAATCTTCCTTAAGTGTGACAATAAACAGTGTGCTCAATTCAAACCGGGTTGTGATTTTCCCTGAGAGATTAGGAGAAAAAAAACCTCCATAGAGAAAATATCAGAATTAAAAAGAATAAAATATGACTGCTTGCCTGTGTTTTTAATTCAGGTGAGTAGCCGTGTTGGTCTGAAGCAATAGAACAAAGTTTGAGTGCAGCGGTTCCTTCAAGACCAACAAAGTTTAATTCAGGGTATAAGCTTCCGTGTGCATGCATGAAAGCTTATACCCAGAATTAAACATGCACAAAAGCTTATACCCAGAATTAAACTTTGTTGGTCTTGAACGAACCGCTGGACTCAAACTTTGTTCTATGTTTTTAATGTCAATGTTATTGGATTTATGGCATTTCGGCTCATCAGCCTGCTGTATTATTTTATGTTTTTGCCACTGTTTGTTGCCAGGACTGCTTTTGCCAAAACAGCAATGGGGCGTAACAAATTAATCGAAAGAAATAAAAGAAATCGTCCCATTAAGGAGAGCAGGATTTTGAAGAACATCAAAAGAGGTATCATTGATGCTTCTGTCACGTGCTGAAGAGGTCAGCCCAAAAGGTCAGCTGAAAAGTCTTCCCAAGTTTTTCAAGTAGGTTCTGCAAGCATCCGCTCCATGACATTTCACAAACTCTCCTTGGCACGTCAGCTTTCTCCAAGTTAGTAACAATTTGTTGGTTCAAATTTTGGGTTTTGAATTTTACAACTATTAAATTCCAGATTATCGTTTTTTACCTTTTTTTTTTTACGTGCGAGAGAGAAAGCGAGCGAGAGAGATAGACAGTGTGGGCTATTTCCCCTCTAATGATCTAAATGTTCAACAAACAGGCCTAGTTTTATATTTTCATAGGGTTGCCGGCCTCCAGGTGGGACCTGGGGATCCCCAGAGATTACAGCTCATCTCGTAGCTACAGAGATCAGGTCCCTTGGAGAAAATGGACGCTTTGGAGAGTAGACCCTATGACTCACTGAAGTCCTTGCCGACCCTAGGTTCTGACAGTATATTGTACTATATCTGGGCAAGATGACAGCCAGGAATGATTGAGTTAGATCATACTGATCTGTGTGACAGGTTAAACTGTCATGTGACAGTGTCACCAGGTACCGATTGCACTAGGTTGCATCAGCTTAATTAATCGTCACCATGAGTCGGCACACAGGCTCTGATTGGTGCTAGTCTGTATATAAGGAGAACAGTCCTGATGTAAGTGTTCACACCTGTGAATGAATTTACTGCGAAGCACCTTGTCGGACAATTCTATGATTTGGAGACCACATGGTGGTATGGACTGTCTGTAAATATTCTGTAAATAAAACCACTGTATATAGCTTCACACAGCAACCTGAAACTCTTATTATTCGAACGCTTCGTGCACGCCGTCAGGTTCCACCCCTAAATTTCCAGGAGTTTTCCAACCTGGACCTGGCAACCCTGAATTTTGCAATTATTAAATTACAGATTATTGGTTTTTACCTTTTTTTTAAAAAAACCTGGGATTACGATTGATCTCCAGGTGACAGAGAGCAGTTCCCCTGGAGAAAATGGCCACTTTGGAAAATGGACTCTGTGGCATTGTACCCCATTGAAACCCCTCCTCTCACCAAACCCCGCCCTCCTCAGGCTCCGCCCCCACCCCCCATGTATCTTCCAACCCGGAGCTGGCAATCGTATACGACAGTTCAATTCCAGTTCTCATTTGCTTACCTACTGTAGACTTGTGCCAATATGTTGTTTAGTTTTTTGTCTAACTTGTACTTTGTGTAATCCTCCAGACCGTCTTTCACAGCAATAACGACGAGAACCACCACGAGAGGTATCATTGTGATTTCCTTCTGAAAGGCTTCAACCACTGGAATCCAGTTTAGCACAGCTATAAATAGGAAATATAAATTGGCAACTCTGAAACAAAGCAAAAACAAAAACAAAAAACACAGGATGTTGGGATCAACCGGTGAACTGTAGATGAGGAGTGTCTATGAAAGAACAGCAGTTAACTTTAGGCTTTTTTTGTAGAATAGCTTGTTAAGGATAGTCCAGCGACATTTGTGCAGTGATTTTATGCATTCCACAACGCTAAAAAACAGAAACGGTTCTACAGAAGGATCAACCCCCTCCCCTTTGCAGACTAGCTGAAACAGTATTGTAGGTCCTTTCCATCAACTGGTATATTTTTCAATCATTTTTGGATCTTTCTCAGCTTCTAGCTAACCTGGCATAAATGCAGAGTGCCAATCATGTGTTTAAAATTGCCAGCAGAAATAGCTGAAGCTATCTGTCACCAAAATGATCACTGCCCTGACTTGGATAGCTCAAGATTGCCTGAGCTCATTAGATACTGGAAGATAAGTAGGGTCAGCCCCGGTTACTATTTGCATGGGAAACCACCAAGGAATACCAGGGCCGCTATGCAGAGGATTGATGGCACGCGGGTGTGTGTGTATAAACCAGAACAAGGACTGTATACTCAAGACTTACTTCCCCATGAACATGGCGAGGGGGGGGAATAAGAGTTTATTATTACTTAACCATTTTAAGTGTATGTATTTTATTATATTGAGGATGGGGAAAGAAGCAGTGTAGTTTCATTGAGCACGAGATCAACAACACCCAGAAGGAGAAACAACACGTGACTAATTCCTAAGAAAATTAGCTACCACAAGGGTGGGGGAATAAGGTCAATATTGCTCTGCCTAAGGGGAAAAAGAAGCTGTTGACTTGGAAGTTTTCATATTGCTTTTGCATTAAAAAATAATAAATTTAAAAGTAATTTACAAAAAATTGAAAACGTCGTAATGCTAAAACACAATAAAACTCAACAGAAATACATGCTCAATAGAGAGTAGGGCTGTCAAGTCCCCCCGGGGGGCGGAAAACCCCCTGCCCCAGAGGCCCGTTCCCCGACACCGGGAAATTGGGCCCCGGAGGGAACCCCGCCCCAGCGTGCACGTCACAGGGAAGTGATGTTATGACGCCGGGCACGCTGGGGATGGGGCCACGGCCATACAAGGGAAAACTCTATGGTTTTCCCTTGTATGGTCGTGGTCCTTAAGAACAGCTCTTGTGTTTTTCCACTTGGCATAACACGGTCGCCGGTGTCTGTTGAATCCATGCTTTGGCATGGAGCGTGCTTGTGTGCAGTAGCTCTTGCAACATCAGGATTCTCTTTACCAGGAAGAGGGCATTTTGAAGCGAGACGGATTTTGGAAATTCAGGAATGAACTATGGAGGTTTGATGCTGCAAGGCAGGGGTGCCAACCTCCAGGTAGAGACTGGAGATCTCCTGGAATTACAAGTGATCTCTGTAGCCTAAAGGAAATGGCAACTTTTCCCTAAAGAAAATGGACTCTGTGGCATTGTACCCCATTGAAACCCCTCCTCTCACCAAACCCCGCCCTCCTCAGGCTCCGCCCCCACCCCCCATGTATCTTCCAACCCGGAGCTGGCAATCGTATACGACAGTTCAGTTCCAGTTCTCATTTGCTTACCTACTGTAGACTTGTGCCAATATGTTGTTTAGTTTTTTGTCTAACTTGTACTTTGTGTAATCCTCCAGACCGTCTTTCACAGCAATAACGACGAGAACCACCACGAGAGGTATCATTGTGATTTCCTTCTGAAAGGCTTCAACCACTGGAATCCAGTTTAGCACAGCTATAAATAGGAAATATAAATTGGCAACTCTGAAACAAAGCAAAAACAAAAACAAAAAACACAGGATGTTGGGATCAACCGGTGAACTGTAGATGAGGAGTGTCTATGAAAGAACAGCAGTTAACTTTAGGCTTTTTTTGTAGAATAGCTTGTTAAGGATAGTCCAGCGACATTTGTGCAGTGATGTACACTGTTATGACAATTATATGCATTCCACAACGCTAAAAAACAGAAAAGGTTCTGCAGAAGGATCAACCCCCTCCCCTTTTCAGACTAGTTGAAACAGTATTGTAGGTCCTTTCCATCAACTGGTATATTTTTCAATCATTTCTGGATCTTTCTCAGCTTCTAGCTAACCTGGCATAAATGCAGAGTACCAATCATGTGTTTAAAATTGCCAGCAGAATATCTGAAGTTATCTGTCACCAAAATGATCACTGCCCTGACTTGGATAGCTCAAGATTGCCTGAGCTCATTAGATACTGGACTGTATACTCAATACTTACTTCCCCATGAACATGGCGAGGGGGGGAATCAGAGTTTATTATTACTTAACCATTTTACGTGTATGTATTTTATTATACTGAGGATGGGGAAAGAAGCAGTGTAGTTTCATTGATCAAGAGATCAACAACACCCAGAAGGAGACACAACACGTGCATACACACGAAAGCTTATACCCAGAATTAAACTTCTTGATCTTAAAGGAGCATTTGGACTCAAACTTTGTTCTGCTGCTTCAGACCAACCTACCCAACTTGAATCTATCTTGAGGAAACTGAGGTATCTGATAGAAGGCACCTGGCCTTGGCAGAACTTGCAGCTCTACCTACAAAGCTGAGTCTATGAGGACACCCAAGCTCCACACCTAGTCCTTCAGGGGAAGTTTAACTAGGCAGGAAGCAGTAAACCTACCGCAGAGCTGGATATCCCTATTGGCTGGCTTCGAAAGGGAAGACCAAGACACTCCCACTTAAATGGCCTGTGACTATTCTCTGGACTTTGAGCAAGGTCTCCTCACACATGAAGCTGCCTTTTACTGGATGAGACCATTGGCCCATCTGTCCCGGTCCACCGGCCCCGGGACGATCCTTCACACCCCCAGAGGCATACCCGCACCCCAACTCACCCCAGGAATGGCGGACGAGCCGGGGAGGATCGACAGCACAACCCCCACAATGGACGCAGCACGCCGGGGCGACTCCCGAGAGCTCAGGCAAGACGTACAGTGCTGGCAGGGCGAGACCCGCCCAGCGAATCCCGTGGAGCCCCTCCCTTGAGAGGTGCGAAGAAGGCCCCACGGGGCGACAACAGAAGCCGGCCACGGCTCACCGCTGACCACACCCCAGACGCCCGAGAAGCGTCCTAGCCTATGAATGAGGGCAGGGCCGGATGGGGGAGGAGGGAGACGGGGAAGATGGGCGGCGCTGGCAGGGGAGCGTGGGGAATAAAAAGAGGGGCTCTTGGAGAGGACCGGGGAGGAAGAACGTGAGAAGGAGACACTACGCACGACGGCTAGAGAGAGAGAGTTAGGGCGAGTGATCTCCAGCTTACGGGGCAGAGGAACCCGAGGGGTGCTGCTAACCCCGTTCCCTGCCGTTCTGAGGTCCCATCGCGGCTCCCTTTTGTGGCTCCACCCCAACTGCCAGCGCCACCCAGCCGGAGAGGCCCGTCACACCATCAAGGTCAATATGGTCTACTCAGACTGGCAGCGGATCTCTAAGGTCTCAGGTGCGGGTCTTTCACATCACCTACTGCTTGGTCCTTTTTAACTGGAGATGCCGGGGAGTGAACCTGGAACCTTCTGCATGCAGAGCAGAGGTTCTTCCACTGAGCCACAGCCCATCCCCAAGAGTAACTGCCTATAAAGACCTGCTTGTGACTGAGGTAAGGGAGTCTGGAAAAAGCAGGAACAGAGAGTCAAATTAAAAATGCAGTAGAAGGGGAAGGAGAGAAGCCAGAAGGGTTTGTGACTTCTTTGGGAGAAAAGCCACTGAAAAGTATTTACATAAATAAATTCACGCAGACGGTAAGGGAGCTAGAAGAAGGAACTGGGTGCCCAGTGACCCCTTCCCGCTGCCAGAGTCCAAATCAACTTGAAGCCCGCCCCACCTCTTCCTTACACACTGTCTGATGTCACGTGTGTCAGGAGAAAGGACCCACATACTGAATGTGGCCATCCACTTCCAGAGTCTCAGGGAAGCAGTAACCAAATTTGTATGCTCATACTTAATACAACTGTGGGCCAATGCTCCCTCTAAGCCGTGGAGTCTTGTGAGCAAAAACTCTATTTTGTGAGCCACTGGCATTAAAGTTGTGAGTGAGCCAATAAAAGGTATTTGAATTTGAGTGAGCGATTTGGCTCCTGCATAAATTAGTTTGCTCTGGAGCCACCCTTCCTGAGCGAAGACAAAAATCTGTGAGCCAGAGGCTAAAAAACTGTGAGCTGGCTTACACTAACTCAGCTTAGAGGGAACACTGCTGTGGACCAATTCTCGCTTTATATTTTGTACCTGAGTACAGGTAACCTAACTATGAGGTATAAAGTGAGCACTGACCCAGAATAATGAACAGTGGAACTATTTCACGTGTCCTGCCGGGTTTGTAAAGTCACATATGAGGCCGTGCTACTTAACAAAAAACAAAACAAAATTTCTATCTAACCGTAATGTCACAGAATTGAACTTTACCTGTGGAACTGCTCAAATAAGTTCCTTGGTATAAAATTCCACAACGTGTACTTGGTCGTTCGTATTTTGTTGCTCTTATAATGCTTTGACACTTTTTCGTATTCTTCTTTAAAACGCCCCAGGTGTGGTATAACTAGTCTGTGCTTGCTGGCCGTCTTGGACGGCTGTTGGAGCCCTTTGCATCCTGGGGAGGAGGGCTCTCTTCCGGTCCCGTCGTCTACTCTGCCTTTTCTGGATATAAGGCGGTGCCAACGATACCTGGCCCACTGCAGCGGCTGCGCCATGTTCTCACGAGAGGTCTGCAAACCCGGCTGTGTCCTTTACTGAGCAGTGCTTGAAAAGAAAAGAAAATGTGATATTCAAATACATGTTACAAGCAACAGGAATCCGTCATTTTTTGTTTTGGGATAAACAAATGGATTGAAAGCGAGTTTTTAACTTAATACATTAGATCAGAGGTGTCAAACTCATTTGTTACGAGGGCCAGATCTGACATAAACGTCCCTTTGTCGGGCTGGGCCATGTGTGCCATAAGACATAATGCTGGGTACCGGAGATAGAAACTGTATAAAGGACAGCAGCTGGTAAACTCCAAGTTGGTGTAGCCTCACTGCAAGGCCCCATGGGCTTGGGAGGGGGTTGCAGAGGAAAACCCACATAGGCAGACTGGAGAGGCAGAAGTGCAGCACTAGGCAGATGCTCCCACAATGCTTGACTGCTGCAGATGAGGTTGTTCTGCCATGCGGAAGCCACAATGGAGTGGCTCCCCCCACTCCCCCTCTTGAATCAGTTGCTTGAGGGCCGGTTCAGGCCCCCGGGCCTTATGTTTGACACCCCTGCACTTGATAGTCACCATTTAAAAGAGATTAGAAAATTCTGATTTTATTACTCATGAAGTACAGTTCAATTAGGGACCAATTTGTTTCGGTTTTCCTTATGCTCTGCTTTTCCTTTGCTAGAAAACTGGATGGTCTAAATCCCCCCCCCCCTTTTTTTCTTGCTGTCAAGTCAGTTGTTCGGGTAAGAGATGTTCAGAGGTGGTTTGCCATTGCCTGCCTCCGCATCATAACTCTGGTATTTCTTGGAGGTCTCCCATCCAAACACCAGCGAGAGATGACCCTGCTTAGTTTCTGAGATCTGACAAGATCAAGCTATTCTGGTCTAGTCAAGCCTACCATGCACATTTCAAAACCTTGTGATTACTCACTGTTCAAAAGGTAAAGGTAAAGGTTCCTTTGCTTGAAAGCCAGTCGAATCCGACTCTAGGGTTGCGGTGCTCATCTCCGTTTCAAAGCCGAAGAGCCAGCGCTGTCCGAAGACGTTTCCGTGGTCATGTGGCCGGCATGACTAAACACCAAGGCGCACGGAACGCTGTTACCTTCCCACCGAAGTGGTACCTATTTATCTACTTGCAATTTCTTGCTTTCGAACTGCTAGGTTGGCAGGAGCTGGAACTAGAGACGGGAGCTCACTTCGTCATGTGGCACACTCGGGTCTCGAACAGCTGAACTACCGACCTTCCACAGCCTGCAGTTCAGCGTCTTAACCACTTGAGCCACTGCAGCTCCCTTGTTCAAAAGGACCAGGGCCTTAAAAGACCTGGGCTTGGGAGACCTCTCCACTGAAATCCCCGCCCTACCATGAAAGGTGGCCTCGGATAAATTCCTACTAATCACAGAAAGGCAAATAACTGCATTAGTATGTCAGTCAAATGGTAGGCATGTTCCATGCAAAGAAGTAAAGCTTGTGTTAACTCTCTCACACTGAAATGGATGAAACTGAAATGCACTTAATGCAGACTGCACTCACTGATTCACTCCACAGGGCTGTCACAAGGATGAAAGGGAACAGCCTGCTCACTAGGAGGGCGGAATATAAAATTGAAAAATAAATAAAATAAAAAATTTAAAGTGCTGACTGCGCTGAAGAAAAAAAGCCTAGGAATGGACATTGTAAACCACATGCTGTGTTGCCTATCTTGTTCAACAGGACTGGCTGTTTTGCAGGCGGAGGCAGAATAAGGGGAGCAGACATCATTGGTTGGGATAATCAAGGACCATATTTATTAATTTTACCTCCAGTCCGCATCTGCAGCAGCCACGGCGCATAACACATTCCGTACGCCATTCTGCAGTATTTATCGTACATTAAAATTACACACAGGAAACATATAATAAGACACATTGAGTATTCAGACAGATTGAACAATCACCCTGAATACTAATATCTGCATTTTCAATCCACTCAAATGCAACTGGGGAAAACTCAAAGAACTCCATCACATCTCCCTGGAAAGCACGATGCTCGCATTCCTGTGACAGGTGAAGAATAGTTTGGTGGGCTGCACCACAGTTGCATTCAGTGGAGGCATTTGATGGGTTGCAGAAGAGTCTGGTCCCCCCCTGTCTATGCATCCCTGGTTTTCTGGGGGAGGCCACTCTGGCTCCAAGCCCCAAGCTGTCAAATTGTATATGGTCCTGGCTCCCCCTTGCCGAGAATTTGCTGGTGTGTGAGGGTGGTGAGGGTGGTGCGCCATGTGCTTTCCCCCAAGATGTGAGATCTTTGGGTTGAGGATAAAGGCACCAATGAAGGGGTTCTTGTTCTAGCCCCATAAAGGCATCTTTGGCCGGTTTGGTGTAGTGCTTAGGAGCGTGGACTCTAATCTAGGAGAACCAGGTTTGAGTCCCCACGCCTCCAAATGCAGCTGCTGGTGTGACCTTGGGTCAGTTACAAGTTCTTTCAGAGCTGTTCTCTCAAGGACAGTTCTTGAGGTGTCACAGCCCCACCTACCTCACAGGGTGTCTGTTGTGGGGAGGGGAAGGAAAAGGGATTGTAAACCGCTCTGAGACTCCTTCGGGTAGTGAAGGGCGGGGTATAAATCCAATCCCTTCTTCTTCTTCAGAAGGTGCAAGGGGGCACTGGTGGGCTGTTTGAGCCCTCACTCTCTGCTCCCCAACGCTGCCGTGCCCCCACCCCCCACAGCAGGATACATGGACAGCTCCCCTTCTGTAGGGTTGTCCCCTTCCCCCCATCTTGGTTGAGGGGTGGGAAGGAGCAGCATTCTTGCTTGAGACCAGTGGTGAACAGGTTTCGGCTCCACTATGATATCAACAGCAGAATGTGCTTCTTCTTCTTCAGAAGGTGCAAGGGGGCACTGGTGGGCTGTTTGAGCCCTCACTCTCTGCTCCCCAACGCTGCCGTGCCCCCACGCCCCACAGCAGGATACATGGACAGCTCCCCTTCTGTACGGTTGTCCCCTTCCCCCCACCTTGGTTGAGGGGTGGGAAGGAGCAGCCTTCTTGCTTGAGACCAGTGGTGAACAGGTCTCGGCTCCACTATGATATCAACAGCAGAATGTGCCCTCTCTTGCTATAAACTGCTGTGAACAGACATCTTCGATGGTTTCTCTGGTAGCTGCAAACACTCCTATAGGGCCAGACAGAGAACAGCTCGCCAGGCAAGAAACGCTGATGACTGGCGACAGCACATGCAGAGAAAGTGCTAATCCACGCCAACAGCAGCACTTAGAAAGGAAAAACCATTGGGCTGTGCAGCTGCTTATCCCAATTCATGACTCAGCATCAATGCAAGAGCTGTGCTTGAAAGAGACTTGATAACACACGGACAGAATACTGAGATCGCATTACCTAACAGATTCTATTTGATGACTTACAAAAGCCCAGGAAAGTGTTGACTGTCTTGCAGCATGCCCAATCCAAGATAAAACCAAATCATTTTATCCCGCTATTCGGGCTTAATCGGCCGCCAAATCCCAACCATATTGGTTCCACTCATGAACTCGTATCACCGGCTGAACATGGCTAGTTTGGAGTCAGAAGAACAACATAGGCCCCGGTCACACGGGCAGGAAAATGCGGGGGGAGGAAGCGTGTAAGCAACTTGAAATTCCAACAGTTCCACTCATGAACTCGTATCACCGGCTGAACATGGCTAGTTTGGAGTGAGAAGAACAACACAGAGAGTAGTCTTAAAAGCCAAGAAGAGAAGGGAGTGGAGGAGAGTAGAATGGAGAATCACTCTACTTTCTAGTCTCAACGAAGACGGGGAAATGGAGATGCTAACTGCAGTGCTTTGGCACAACTCAGGGTTGCCAACAGGCCTGGGGAAAATATCCTGCCCCTTTAGGTAAAGGTAAAGGTTCCCTTGCTCGAAAGCCAGTCGGATCCGACTCTAGGGTTGCGGTGCTCATGTGTGGAGGTAAATAAGCCTCTATTAAAGGGACAGGATATTTTCCCCCAGGTCTACTGGCCAACCTAGTACCTCTGCCTTCCACATGATTTGTTAGGATAAGCAAGAGGAGAATTAATGCAAGTGTGAAGGAGGGCAGAAGACAAGAATCAGCGCAACAGGCGAGTTTCCAGTTGCAAATTTTATTTAGTTAGTTTATTAAAGCTGAGAGTACTTTGATCAAGCGGGGACCGCGGCCAACCACACCCAAATCGAGCCCTGACAGAAGAAAAGAAAAAAAAAGGAGACGGAAGACCTGCTTTCATGACAGGTAAAGGCCAGGCTTCTAGTACTTATTGTAGAGCCAGACAGTCTCAAGATTTTGTAAAAAGGTAAAGGTTCCCTTGCTCGAAAGCCAGTCGAGTCCGACTCTAGGGTTGCGGTGCTCATCTCCGTTTCAAAGCCGAAGACCCAGCACTGTCCGAAGACGTTTCCGTGGTCAAGTGGCCAGCATGACTAAACACCAAGGCACTGACTGCCAATTTCAGGGTGGATCTGACACATCCCTGTTCTTTTCTGCATTACATTTTTTTTTAATTTATTTATTCGATTTTTATCCCGTCCTCCCTGCCAAGGAAGGCTTAGGGCAGCTTACATTAAAAAGATGAAAAACAGCAGGCTCAGGGCAGCTTACATTAAAAAGATTAAAAACATTAAAACACAAATGCCTATTAATACAACACAGCCTCATAAAACACATAGACACAGTACAAAATAGAATAAAGTGCCAAAGCCTGGATACAATTATTGAAAGTTAGTTTCCATACTCAGATCATTCAGAGTTCTAGGCAGGCCAAGTAACATTAAAAATTTCATTATTCAATGGGCTTTTCTGCATCCTTATTTTCCATGCTTGTGCCCTTCCTGTTGCTCCAGGGTTTTCCCCCTGTTCCACATGGTTTGCTCCCTCTAGTGGTTGATTCGATATTACATTAGTACACCTCTGGATGTACTATCGAATCGATATCAAAGGGCAGCTGAAACCTCATGCTGCAGCTCACAGTATAATGTTATTGCTCTTTATCAAAAACAATTTATGAA